CACCGCTGCTTCACCGCTATCGCCTAATCTTTATCGTCATCGACTAAGTTGTTTTTCCTCATCGCGTACATCCTTCGTGGTCGAGGCGCCAATCGATTGATCGATCGACCGCTTTTTGCCGCTTCTATATCGATTCTGACGTGTTGTTGAAGCTTAGCGGCGGCGTATTCCGTGTCATTATAAAATGTACCCGTTGTTTAGTTCTCGGTTCCTAACGATCATTGTGTTAAACGTGGCGGTCAAGTCACTTGTTGGTTATCATTAGGCAGCGCTTGCCAGATGTGTCATGGGATGAGTCTGTCTGGTACAGTTCCTTGTGCATAGCGCGGCGCTGCGCCGTCATCGCCGCTGAGATGTTGTTTACGTCACGCTGCCTCTACCTCTGCCGCCGCCGCCGACACGTCGCCGTCTCGCAAAATAACAGCGTCCAGTCACACGGTGCATGTTGGAAAGTTTTGTGGCGGCGGCAGGCACATCGTAGCGACGGTGGCAGCGAATGTAAAGTGTCAACACGCTTCCGCCGTGTCGCCGTCATGCGACGGTCAATGACGAAGATGACGAAGTGCCGCCGCGCCGCGCCGCGCCGCAGTCACTATGTCAAACGCCGCGTCGCACGGCGCAATACCCGCACTGGGAGTTGGCGCGACGCAGTGGTACGACCGTCTGTGACAGCGCCACAGCGCCAGACAGGCGTCTTCGCTTCATCTCCGTCACGTCCCCCAAGTACATTAGGTTCGCCTGCAGCAAACACGAGGAACGAACGGTCCTTGTCTATTGGTGTGCTTGCGGGTTTCGCCCTTGTCTCTTGCCCCTTCCCAGCGGTTCAGTGTTTGGCGGTTTGTTGTTGTCCTCGCGAATTCCGTGCAATCTGTAAATTCATCTCGCATGCACTGCGCTATTGAAAATATGTATTATTTGCCTTATGAGCAGCTCTTCTTCAGCTTTTATGCTTTTATTTGTCCTCAAAAATTCTTTCCAGTGGACTGCCGTGCGCCAGGCCAGTAGTCAAAATTTGCAATGGCAGTGACTTGTCGAAATGAATCTGTGGTGCCTTGAACCATGAATCGCTCAACCATCAATCTGTAACTACGAGCTTAGAATCAAAAACCTGAAGTCTTGTTTAGAAGTGAATTTGTTCCTTACTTTTATTACATCAGTGGATGTTATTAATTACTTAAACGCAATTAATTGCTAGATGCCCAGGCTGAGCTCTGAAAACAGCAATAACCGATATCATTGTAAGCAAATTCGGAAGTACATGACAGTGTGAAGGTTCTTCTCCTTGCCAACCTCTGGGTATCAGAAAGAAAGTTCGGCAATAACGTCGATAGTCAAAATGCCTTTCCTCACTTACGAACTCGTACTGCTGCAGAAACAATCCTTCTCGCACTGTCGAAACATTTACGTGAAGAAGCACGAATGCCCAAACCAGCAAAACCTTGAAAATGCACAAAACCTTCGAACTTTCACGCACGGGGAAACTACACCATGAGATCCCTGGCAACCACAGCTTGCAGAACAGTCTGTCTGTTGTTGCAGATCGTTCCAGAAGGTCGTTGGTGCTACGATCCTGGTTGTTTTTGTTCATCAACTGATAGTCTCGCCCCCGTTTTTATAGAAACCCTCCAAAATTGGATTTGGCGACGAGCTGAGGAAGGATCGTGCTTATGCGTCGGCGCAGACGTGATTATTGTTTTATTAATAGTTGACGTAGCAAAGTTGGACAGGGAGGTGTTTAGTTGTTCAGCCGAATGCTTCAGCGAATATGACTTGCCTGAAACGAGTGTCTCGATGCGTCTTTCTCCTGCCATCCAATAGTCGTATCTCCCGGGATCGTCTGCCTTTACTGGTTGTTTGTAAAGCGAAGGGGGCCCAAGGGGCTTGGGGCTTGGAGGTTCTGCGTACAAGTTTTTGAAGAAAATGACTGAAGGTTTAAAACAGCAATAACAGGACAGGCTTTTGTCAAGATCACTTAAGCCTACATAATAAATGCGACAAAATCTGTGACAGATGGATTCATAACGAATTGAAGTAAATCAGTGACAAATAGCATATTCTATTCAGACTGATGACGTCATGAGGTAGAAAATGTAACAGCTTTCTTATGTACACATAAAAATAAACACAGATCTTATCGGTTTATTAGCATACTGCTGGTTTTCGATACCACCGTAACTGTAGTGATGAACATCTCGTTCATCCTGTCCCATACAAATCTTGAAAGTGAAAGCTGTTTACTTACTCGCGTACTTTCCTCGTTTCACAGGTGAATACATTATTCTCCGAGAAGGACTAGCCTCTAGAACATAAGGAAAGTATCGTTTTTCATTTAATGCTGCATCGACACTTCAGGTTACGCGCATGTTTACCCCAAGATGCTCATCATCATGATATGTTCAAGTCTGTGTTCTCTACGCGGGTCGGGCGCAACGCTTGGCAGTTGTGAAAATCATCACCTTTCAGGGCCATCTCCTACCTGATATGACTGGTCTTCGACGTGGCACTACGTAGTTTTTATCAAATGACTTGTTCTTTTTCACGAGCGTATCATCTGTATTGTAGATCTTCAGCATTTGTGTGGATCATTAGGTAGCTGTTAAAGACTTATACTTATGACTGTATTAAGAATTAGATAGAAATCCTGGTTTGTCATGTTTCTAGGATTCAGGCTGCAACAATTCCGGTCGAACACTACCAGGAAGTGCAGCAACGAACTGCCTCCTGAACAAGATTTGTGAGGCGCACACAGATCGAATCCACTGCTGGGGTTGTAAAGTACAGTAATTTTCGGCACATAAGACTTTATTTCAACAGATTATCCGACATTTTATGTGCGTAGAGAGGACGTTTTCTCGTTGTAGAAATGTACTGCTTGAAAGTAGCACCGTTTCTGTAAAGGCACCGGTAGTGTTGACTGTGGTAACAGTAGTAAGGATTTTCTTTTCTGTGTTTCTGCGATAAACTTGAGTCGTAGATTGCATCGTACATTTCATCCTGTTTTTTATGAATTAAGACGTGCATCTCAACATCTATTTTTCCTGATGTATTTGATGAAAAATTTAATTTAATTAAAGTTGTATTTTATTGATAGTTTTTTACTGTCACTTGTGACCTTGATAATCCGGAAATATCGGCCATCGATATATTTGCATGCTTGTAGTGAAAACGAGGTTTAATGGTAAGAGACATACTTGAAGATGGGTGATTCAAGGGCACAAGCATAAGAATAGATTCCCTTCAAGGACACAGTGAGCACAATCATTAAATCCCTGATCCTTTTTGGTAGGCGGAAGTGCCCGAAGGTGGTGTATTTTCTTCGTGCGTTTGTAGGCAGATTGAAAATAACATAAAAACCGTTTATTTATACACAGCGCAGTGCGCGTGACCTATAGACCGATACTTTCTTTCCGGTCATTTCACAAGCTTTCTTCAAGGTCACAGGGGTGGCAGTTTTCGGTTGCTGTTGAAATTATCTGTAGCAGTTGATTTTTTTTGAAGCCAAGAGGCTTTCACCAAAATGCAAGCGAATGCAAAACTGTAACACTGGAGTGTAATCGAAGGGTTAAGTTGAAAATGTCAAAAATCTCACCATGCGTAAACTTTCACGTAAACAGCAATAAAAATAAGTTGCCGACATAAGATCCGTTGAAATATTTATTTTCTTGGTTGGTAGCTTTTCATGATTGATGGTTAGTTGTTCGCTCACGTTTCTTCGTCTCCGACAAATAGCCTCACCAAAAAGTCGAAAGTCATGAGATCGTCGCTTTGTTTAAGGCTGTTTGTTTTTTAGGCTTTTCGCCAGACTGAAGCTTCGCCGACGTTGTTAGGCAGTTCCCATTGCGCCGTGTCGTGTGATGAAATGCAGCTCTAATTTTTTTATCCGATTTCAAACTTGACATTTTTAAGGTGGACCAGCCGTTTTTCGTCGGATGTTGTATTCCCGATTATCTCAGTCTGAGGTATATGGTCGAATATGCTTCACTGAGTTAGAGGAGATTACATCCGTTTTCTGTGCGAAGGACCAAATTTTTCAGCAGTGTATTTGTTACGAACCCGACTTACATAATAATCGGACATGCATGTTAATCACAGGTTATTTCAACGGTCTTTTAACCCCATTAGCCTTAGCAAAACAGTATGCGACTTTTCGTTCAGCAAGGTAAAAGAGCGCTGTAGGCCAATTGTGACACTTGCTTTCAGGGTAGGTCTTTAAGAAAATTTTTTGTTCAAGCGAACTACCAAATTTAACATCCGCTAGCGAGTTCGTGGCAGTTCAGAGAATAAGATCATATACTGGTTAATTTGCTGAGTGGTTCTGCCCCTAATGTTAACCCGCCAATCCCATTTTCATAGAATGATATATAAGCTATACAGTAATGGGAAGACTGGTTAATAAGATCAGATCCAAGAAGTAGGCCAGTCAAGACACACTCCCTTTCAAGGCAAGTTTTGAGAGTATTTTTTGTTAAAGAGATCGCGCGACTTTGCAGCTGTTATTGAATTGCAGCAGAAATTGACCTTAGCCACTTTAACGTAGCACCTGTTGCTTTGACGAACTGCGTTGAGTCGGCTACAACTTTCTCACCTCAGGTCCATATGATGAACTATGGAGTGTAGTACAGTGAAAAATATATTTATCTGCGGCAGGTTTAAGTTAAGTTGGTTCAGTAAATAAGAGGGCATGAATCACTTTTCAAATTTAGAACACAAGCTAGCCATGTTTTAACTGATACTACAGGAAAGTATTTTGTGGGCCGTGTGTGCGAATCACAAGTGAAGACCGCTGGGTCAGAACTATACACTCTTGGCTGGCAGCTCAGATAAAAAAACTAGGTGGACTTTTGCCGCTTGTTGCTTTAAGCAACAAACTGGTCTTGATGTACTTTGGACACTGTGCAGCGAAATCTCCACGTAAATAACCGAGTTCATCCCGTTTTGCTAAAAGCCTTTCGATCTGAATATCTCCATGTACTTCACAACGATACAGCTGGTATTCGTTCAGTGGGTTTCGCACCATTAGCGTCTGTTGAAGACGAGGCGTTCGATAGGCGTCGAAACATCTACAGATTAACGGAGAAACTGGAATTTACTTGCTGATCTTATCCAACTTCATTTGTTTCTTTCACTATGCGGTCGCAGTTTAGTTTTTTAGCATTAATATTTTAGTATTAGGGAGTTGTACATGTATTAGTGTACTAGCGGTCGCTACAATCGCAGGCAGGTTCCTATGAGCTAAGACTAAAGCTGACAAAGTACACGGTTTTGCCTTCAAGATTTGTCCCAAAGGACTCATAGAAATGAGCTTTGATTGGGAATATGTGCAGCATACAAGATTATCCTATCTCGGATCCATTATCACAAACGACGGAGACTGTAAGGCAGAATTTAAAGGAAGAATGTGAAAGGCCCTAATTGCTCTCTGCGAAGTGCCGACGAAGTTCCGTATATATCTGACGGCTTTCTGACTGGTACTTATTTATATCCTAGAAATATAGACATCTGCCAACGTACAGAAAGACAACCTATGTGTAGTTGAACAGATTTGTTGATATTCAATACTCATATGCGGACTAACGGACATGGTTGCGAATATTAAAATTGCACGAGGATGCGAGACAAGATGCCCAGTAATATATCTAATAATAATTGATATTAGCCAGATATTCTCGCTGACAGAATAAGAAAATGAGACATATCATCTTCAGCTACACGCAAGTGACTGATCATCATAGGGGCTTCACTGTGTTGGGTCACTGCTGAAAAAGATCGAAAGGCATGTCCACCACGTCATAGCAAAAATCTGTCAGGGATTCAACTGAAAACGGTAGAGTTTGGTACCGTTATCGACAAATAGTAAACCGACCCTGGCACACT